TAAGATTGTCTTAGAATTGTTTGTATTTCTTTGGTGTTGGTTGTGATCTCTTCTCTTTCATTCATGAGGGTCCTTTCTCTTTTCTTTTTGATAAGTCTGACTAGGAGTTTATCAATCTTATTCTTTCAAAGAACCATCTCCTAGTTTCAGAAATTAGAAGTATGATTTTAGCAATTGTATGGCAATTTGATATTATCATCACAATTTATTTTATTTTACAAAACTTTCTTGCTGGACAAATATGAAAAGATTAAAGAAAAGAAACAGCATTTCACCAAAAAAAAAAATATATATATATTTAAAGATTTTATTTATTTGTCAGAGAGATAGAGAGAGAGGGAGAGAGCAAGCACAAGCAGGGGGAGTGGCAGGCAGAGGGAGAAGCAGGCTTCCTGCTGAGCAAGGAGCCCAATGTGGGACTCGATCTCAGGACCCTGGGATCATGTCCTGAGCAGAAGGCAGATGCTTAACCAACTGAGCCACCAAGGTGTCCCTCACCAAAAATATTTTAAAGTGCATTGTCTAACTACTATATTAAGTTAAAATATATTAAAAATTGCCAGTTTATTGGTTTAATACATTTATATAAGCTAGCTATTCAATTGTGACTCATATTCTGTTATTATCTATGGTAATATTAACAACTTTGAGTGTCCTATTTTTGAAAATAATCAGAGAAAAACCAGATACCTGCAGGTCAAATGGGAATTCCCAAAGTGTATTGGAGACAGGATCATTAAATCTGTAAATTTCCTTACAATTCAATTTCTCTATGTGCCAAAAGCTCAGGTTAGGCAGTATTTCCATTTTATGTTCTTACATTTCTTACCAAATAATAAAAATTTCCTTTACACTCCTGAAATTTATGTACATGGTAACTGCATATTCAAGCTTCAGTGATAGCATACAAATTGGATTGATTGATTGATTGATTTAGGTAAGGGCATTTGTGGTTTGACATTTCTTTTTAAGATTTTTAAAATTTATTTAATAAAGAGAGAGAGAGAAAGAGAGAGAGAGAACATGAGCAGGGACAGGGGCAGAGGCAGAGGGAGAAGCAGACTCCCTGCTGAGCAGGGCGCCCGATGCAGGGCTTGATCCCAGGACCTCGAGATCATGACCTGAACCAAAGGCAGAGGCTTAAATGACTGAGCCACCTAGATGCTCCTCTTCTTACTATTTGGAAAATGATTTCCACTCTTGCCCTCTGTACCACGAACGATGCTGAAATACATAATCAGGGTAGTGCTTTTTATTGCCCCAAAGGGATTTCTTTCCTAATTAAAAATTAAAGGTAGCAATAAAATTTTAAAGTGTCCTTTTAAGTGAAAATATTTTTCTATATCAGATCTTAGTCATAATGAGTAAATATGGCCATTATCTATTGTAAATGAGCTATTCTATTCATAATATTACATATTTTGTAAGGTGGTCAGTCTGGTTGCTTGAATGAACATAAACCCTGAGAGTAACGTTTTAATCCTTTTGCAAAATGCTAAGTATTTTTGACACAATGTGTTGGCATAGTGACAGAGTCCACAGGAATGTTATTCTGGGTTTGAGGGAAATTTTTAAAGAAAAGTCGGACAGGAACATCTTTGACAAACTCAGAGAAATTCTCTCCTGTGTTTTACTGACCCTGATAATCCCAGTTTTACTGAAAAATAATGCTCTGTGGAAAACAGATGCTAGAGAACCCATTAATATCTGTCATTAGATCGTAGGCCACCAATTAAAAATATATATTTCATCTAGAATAGTGCCATATAATCTTCCTCATCTAAAAGGAAAAATTACTCAATAACTTAGTATGCATTTTTACATTTTGGTAAACAGGATTGGTAGAACTTCTGTCATTTTAAAGTCAGTGGAAGAGTACTACTCAACAATCTTGCTCAGAAATTATACAAAAAATACTATCCAGATGAATATGGCTCACAATATCTACTTATAGGCATAAAATTTAAGCCCCCGGATCTCATGTTTTTATGTTAGATTTAAAAAAATATGAACATATAAGAAAATTTGTTTGAAATCTTCCCCAAAATAAAACCAGATAGCAAAATCACCAGTTTTTAAGTAAGTGTAATATATGGAGACATGCACATGCATGTTACTTGAAAAATAGCACTACTTCTAAGGTCTCTCGTCTTGGTCTTATAAGTCAAATGCAATGGACTGACCAAATCTCCTGAACTATATAGTGTTGGTACTTTCACCAAAATAAGCTGTTATTTGCTCTAACATTACAAATTACAATTCAGTTTCCTACCTTGAAAATCATCTCATTTAACATGGGCTTAGTGATTTCCTGTATTTCCTCTAACTGTAAATTTCTATAAGATAATGCCACATAGCTCCTGTCTAAATGTTAAAATGAGTAATTTTCAATATTCTTAATACTTTTTTATATGTTGTATCATATTTAGCTTATTTATTAAAGAATTCAGCAATGTAATTTTGCCTTAGGTTCTACTGATGAGTTGTTCTGCATGAGCTACATTGTTATTAAAAGAAATGTAGCATGTGTGGATTTGATTACGCGTCATCTGTTGACTATTAAATGTCTGCTTGACAATGCCCGCATTTTGAATGGCTTCAGGCCACATGTTTCTACAAAGCTGAAGTTCTATCTTCCCAGCTTGCAACTCTGATAGTCAACAGATCTAATAAATAATAATAAATAATAAATCTAATATATAATAATAAATCTAATACTAAATCTAATACTAAATCTAATACTATACACTTAATAAGTAGCAGAGGCCAGAGTTGAACCAAGGTCATTGGACCCTTGTTTATTTCCCTTAACTTTAATCTAATAATAAATCTAATACTGAGCACCACCCATAGGTTTTATATTGTAAATCCTATGTTGTAAATGTTCCAGTAATCTAGCTAAAGAAGATAAGTGCATGGAGAAGACACAAATTTTTGTCTTTGGAAATCATTTTATGGCTTTTGGCAGCAGATTTGGCTACCACATAATTTTCAATAATGGTTAACATATTTTACATTTCCTCTTATTTTTTCACTTGATGAAGCCAAGAAAGTCTCTATGTAGAGTTCCAAGAGGCTAAAAGAAGCCAAACTTGTATTCAAATTTTGCTACAGATAATGGGAAGGAGGGAAATGCATATATGACTATTAAAATGAGGATTTTCTCTATGTATATTAAGATAATACACAATCTGCCAGAGAGTCATCTTCTAGTTTCATAGAAAAGCTGAGAATTCTCTTTGAATTCTCATCCAGTTCTCAGCTTTGCATCCTTCTTGATTTTTCTCCCTGAAAATAATTCAATAATTTTAGTATTTAATGTTAAGTTTTAAGAATGGTCACATTGGAATTCTACTCACTTGTGGCCAAGGTATCAGAGTGAATCTTTCATTTCTCCAAAGAGCAGTTCATGCAATTTCTGCTGTTAGAAATTTAGTTCCCCTGAAAGCTATCATTTTGTGTTGTGCTAATATTTTAGAAATACAATCTTTTTTTAAAATTTAAAAAAATTTTTTTTAAAGATTTTATTTATTTATTTGAGAGACTGAATGAGAGAGAGAAAGAGCACATGAGAGGGGGGAGGGTCAGAGGGAGAAGCAGACTCCCTGCTGAGCAGGGAGCCTGATGCGGGACTCAATCCCGGGACTCCAGGATCATGACCTGAGCCCAAGGCAGTTGCTTAACCAACTGAGCCACCCAGGCACCCTAGAAATACAATCTTTTAAAAGTAGTCTTCTTTACTACCAGGCTCCGGAGCATTTATTTGTCAGGGGCATGACTCCAATTCAATTAGCAGAATTGTAGTTCTTGCTTTTTTAGGAACCATAATAATATTTCTTTTAATGTTTATAGGCTTAAACATATTTTGCAATATTTTAGAATCATTTTGGCTTATAACAAAGTTAAGGGAAAATAAACAAGGGCCCGATGACCTTGGTTCAACTCTGGTCTCTGCTACTTATTAAGTGTATAAGGAAAGTCATTTGGTTTCTCAAAGAGAACATTGACCAGTTTATCAAATGAGATTAAAATGACCTTTGACTATCTTTCATGACTGTAAACTGAATCACAATATATGATAATGCATGCACAATTCTGCTCAAACCTGTAGGCTATATTGCAAATTTAAGATAATTTTAGGTCCAGCGAGTATATATATGAAGTGTACACAACCCATGACAAAACAATTATAATCAAAGCCATAGTTTCTGCTGTATAGCAATGTATCTGTTAGAATTTATTAATCATATAATATAATCTTGATAATTTTCTAGTTGCTTTAGGTGATTGAATAAACAGACATGTGTGCATGCACACACACACACACACACACTCTATATGATAAAGTGCCACAAAGCAATTTACAATGTAGTTCCAGGTGGAAGATGAGCATTCATGTAGGGTCTGTGCAGAGTCCTATATATTTAAATTATTAATTTGTGTGGCATATCCAGACTGTATGTGCTAGGAGACTTCAAAGAAGAGGACATTTCTGTGGATAGAAGAGTGTCTCAGACAATGTTATAGGAATCTGTGAATAATAGAGTGGCTTACATTTGCAAATCAGTTTGGGTCTCTCTATACTTACTTCCCACCAGTCTCCTTCTCCAAGCTCCTTCTCTCAGGGTTACTCTTGCTTGGAACACCTTCCCTCTGCCCAAACTACTCTTTCTTAAGAAGGCGGAGACGAACCATGAGAGACTATGGACTCTGAGAAACAAACTGAGTTTTCTAGAGGTGTGGGGGCATGGGTTAGCCTGGTAATGGGTATTAAGGAGGGCACGTATTGAATGGAGCACTGGGTGTTACATGCAAACAATGAATCATGGAACACTACATCAAAAACTAATGATGTAATGTATGGTGATTAACATAATAAAATAAAATTTAAAAAAAAGGCTCTATGACTCACTTCCTCGAATTATTCAGGGCTCTATTCACGTGTCCCTTGTGAATAGCCCCTCCCAGATCACCCTTCATGAAATAGCTGCCCTGTCCTGACCAAATTCACTCTCCTGCCATTACGCCCTCCACTGATTTCATAGCACTGATCAGTCACTTACTTCTGCTACAGAGTTGTGGCCGTCATTGGAGGTAGGTGCTATCCGTAGGTGAAGGTACTGACAAATAGATGGATTCAGTGAATGCCTCAGTATGACACATTTGATAGTGGAGTGAGGATCTGGGCCCTTTTAGACACATTCCAGAGTTTTGTAATGCATCCACCTTTTGTGGCTGTTGTCAGTGGGCATGTAGGCCCAACTTAACCTACTTTCATCCACGATTAGATTTTCTAATTGCATGTTACATGTAAGTGAGAAAAATCACTTCTGGGTTAATATTTGTAATTCTTTAAAACTCATGTTTGGCAAAACAGCTCAAGTTTTTTATCTCATACTTCAACATTTTCTGTTCTACCATATATTGAATTGCTCAAGTCTGTCAGTTAGAAGAGTTAGTGGAACAGTGGTTGAAAGAGTGGGCTGTGGAGCCAGAAGCCAGGGTGTAAAGTTCTGATGTTCTCAGTCTGAGTACCTTGGGAAATTCACTGACTCTCTGGGCCTGAATTTCACCTGTAAGAGACTGTCAACTCTACTGGACTTTTGTGAGGATAGGGTAAGTGAGTACTTGGAACAGTCTGGTTTTGTACAAACATTATATATATATATATATCGGTGTAATGATATGATGTATTGCTTTGTACCATAAGTAGTGAAGTATTTCTTAAATTGTTTTACTTTAGAATAATTTTAGATTTACATAAAAGTGACAAAGATATTAAAGAGATTTTCTGTTTCCCATCACCCAACTTTTCTTAGTGTTTATGTCTCATGTAACCATGGTCCTTAGATAGTAGATTAGTGGTTGTGAGGGGCTAGAGGGTGTCTGGAGGTTTAGGGAATTGATAACTAAAGCATACAAGGTTTCTTTTTGAGATGATGAAAATGTTCTAATATTGACTGTGGTAATATTTGCACACATCTGTGAATATACTTAAAAAATTAATGGTAACTTAATGGGGTATCTGGGTGGCTCAGTTGGTTAAGTGGCTGTCTTTGGCTCAGGTCATGATCCTTGGGTCCTGGGATTGAGCCCCTCGTTAGGCTCCCTGCTCCACAGGGAGTCTGCTTCTCTCTCACTCTCTGCTGCCTACCCCCCAGCTCATGCTCTCTCTCTCAAATGGATGAAAGCTTTAAAAAATTAATTGTAACTTAAAATGGGTGAATTATATCTCAGTAATACTTTAAAAAATAAGTAGTTTCTTCAGAAATAAATTTAAATATTGGGATATATAATCTGATGAGGTTAAACATAACCATAGAGCACATGGTTGTTGTGTCACAGAGAACCTGAATACACTATGTAAAGGAAGTAGAAGAGGGTATGTCTAGAAAATAGATATATTATATATATATCTCCACAATCATTAGGAAAATGATTAATGTCATATAGTGACATAGTGTTAGAACATGAGCAAAACGGAATACAGAATGTAGATTTTCTGAATCCCAACCACCAGGTAGGTGATGTCTGAACGTGGGCTCACACAGAAGCCACCTGCCTGCCACGGGATGAGGTTCAAGGAAGAACCTCTGTCTTCAGGTCAAAGAAGGAAGGAGGGGGAAGATGAATTTTTTGAAGGAAAGATTTAGTTTTAGTAGTGTATTAGAATGAGAAATGAAAAGCTGGTCCTCTGGCTAAAACCGAGTTATATATATGGGGTTTTGTCAGGTGAGAAAAGGCCTTAACATCTACTGAGCGCTTACTTTGTTTAAGTGTGGGCTCACAGAAAAGAAAGGTTAAGTACAGCTATTTTGGGCCCCAGAAAATTGCCATCACAAATTGGCATTGAAAAAGGAAGGAGGATGGGAATTAATAACATGAGATCCTCTTGTGATTAGATGTAAACTAGGTAAGATTTACTAGAGGTTAGGGGAAGTGTGTAAGGAGAGCCGAGGGATTACTCAAAGTGGCTTGTTTATAAACCCACTTGAAATATTGGGAATGTAGTTTTGTAAGAAATCACTCTAAGTCATACCAAAAAAAAAGAAAAAAAAAAATCACTTGTTTCTGATTATAGTCTCTTTTAAATTCCCGGACGCAATTCTAACGTGCGTGTGGTATGTTCGTGTATAAGGGCACTTCCCCACACCACAAAAAACCAATACTCAGACACTAGCTGCATGTCCTATGATTCACCTCCATTCTGACCTTCTCTACCCTGAGAAAGTATGTGATTCCACAGATGAGGGGCTCAGTCCTACATGACGGCCCTAAGCCCTTCAGACACCAGTGGCAAGCCCAGGTTGTTCTCCATGCTTCTGACTGGCTGGCTACGCATTAGAAAGTCCAAGAACACTTTCCTTGGACTTGGGGTGCCAGTCACAAGTGCAGGCTGTTACCTGTGCTTCTGACCCACTGGTTATAATCAGAGGTTTCCATGGCCTCCTTGGGTTTAATTAATTTGCTCCAGAGGCTCACAGAACTCCAAAATATTTTACTTACTGAATTATTGGCTTGTTATAAAAGGATATGATAGGGCGCCTGGGTGGCTCAGTTGGTTAAACGACTGCCTTCGGCTCAGGTCATGATCCTGGAGTCCCTGGATGAGTCCCGCATCAGGCTCCCTGCTCGGCAGGGGGTCTGCTTCTCCCTCTGACCCTCCCCCCTCTCATGTGCTCTCTCTCTCTCATTCTCTCTGTCTCAAATAAATAAAATCTTAAAAAAAAAAAAAAAGGATATGATAGAGGATACAGATGAACATCCAGGTGGAAGGATGCCTAGCGGAAGGTATCGGGAAAAGGGTTTCAGAACTGTCTTATTCACAGAATTCCAAGCATGCTGCTGCCCCCAGATCTCTACATGTTCACCAACCTGGAAGCTCTCCAAACAGTCCTTTTGGGTTAATTGCATGGAGGCTTCATTACAGAGGTGCGATTGATTACATCAGTGGCCATTGAGGATTGATTCAACTTCTAGGCCTTCTCAACTCCCTGGAGGTCAGGCGGGTGGGACTGAAAAGTTCCAACCCTCTAATCACAAAGTTAGTTCTTCTGGCCACCATCCTCCATCCTTAGGTGGAGTTTCAAAGCCACCTCATTAACATAACAAAAACACTTTTGTTGCTTTTCATCACTTAGGAAATTCTAAGCGTTTTGGGAGCTCTGCCAGAAACAGAAGACCTAATATATATCTTATTATAAATCACAATACCATATGATTTCACTAGTAAAGTCATTTTTTAAAAAGATTTACTTATTTATTAGAGAGAGAGCGAGCGAGAGCATGCAACGGGGGGGAGGGGCAGAAGGAGAGGGAGCGAAAAAAATCCTCAAGCAGACTCCCCGCTGAGTGTGGAGCTCCAGTCAGCCTGTATCCCAGGACCCTGAGATCAAGACCTGAGCTGAAATGAAGAGTCAGATGCTTAACCAATTGCGCCACCCAGGTGCCCCTAGTAAATTAATATTTCTTAATCAGTTAATTATAGCCATATCGTTTGTATGTATATATTGTATAGACATATATATTTGTACTTTTAAAGTTCTTTTAATGTTGGTGAGTTATCAGAAATAGAAAAATAGTTAAGTAATTCTGAAAATTAATTTTTGAGTCACATTTTTGGTGGAAGGACTATCCCTCATATGATTGATACACCATCTTGCAGAAAATAGAAACATTAGTTGTAGGATAAAATTTGGTATAGAATTAGAAGAGTTGTTTTGGTGTATTTTAATGATAATAAAACAATGTCCAGCACCTGAAAATGACCGTCACCAGATAGGGTTTTTTCATACATATTTAATATAGAGTTCTTCGCAAAAAGTGAGTAAACCAAATGGATCTTCAGGAAATACTACCACTTCAATAATTATTTACTAGGGTATTGTTGAATTCCACAAGGAACAGTTTGTATTTAAACAAAGCTTTGAATTTGTCCTCCTGATTTTTAGTGTTGAGGCAAGATAACTCTTCTTGAGAAAAGTGAAGTAACATTAGTGTTAGAATTCTTACCTAAACTCAATTATGCAGAATATTGCAGAGGAGGTTAGAAAGATGGAAAATATCAAAGTTTGTCTCATTTTCAATTGCTTTACTATTCCAAGTGTCATATATTCAAAACACAAGCTCACTTTCTATGTGATGCGTAAGGTGATATTTGTGATCTGATACAGTAAAAGATATTTTAGGTATTTTACTTTTTGATATCCAAATGATCTTGACTGTTGCACTAATTAGCAGGGTGACATAAGACAACTATTTTAATCTTAATTGTGGGATAGGACTTTCTTTCTAGGCCTGTCAGTTGTGAACATTATAAGATGTATGGTGAGAAGAAAAAACAGAAACTCGTTGGTAAAATATGAATAAAGTAAATTATGCTGGGTTGCTTTCAGCTGGGGTTTACAAAGGAAAGACACAGACACATGATACATAATGGTATGTGTGTGTGAAATATGTAGAGTTAAAAATATTCTGTTGTGGTGTAAAATCATGTATATGTTCTATAAACAAGAATAAATGAAAATCTTGAAATATATGGTAAGAAGTAGCAGACTAATGTCCCAAATAACCTTCTTACAACCTCAGCACAGGCAGGGGATTATAAAGGGGGAAAGGAGGGAGAGATCAGTCTCAAATGTTAAGCAGATAAAATCAAAGTTTAATTATAACTCTTCAGAGGAACTTCTAGACCCTAGTCGTGGTTGCCTATCTGTCTTGAACAAGTCCCTGGTTGGGATCATTTGACTGTCACATGCTTTTGGTTTGGCATCAGTTGCATTCTTTATGTTCCCTATAGAGCTTAAACAATTATTATCTTGGTTACAATTTAAGCTTTAGATTGTGTTTGAGAGTTACACGCAGGAGTGTTAACGTAGTTTGCTCTGTGTTGTATAGTCAAGGTTTCTCCTGTTCACCTTACTTTCAAACAATTCAAGGCAGAAGAGAAAGGCAGGCCTTCAAAATGGCATTTGTTCGGCAACAAATGGATCAAGGGGTGCATCAGGACGCAAACACATTCAGATTTGAATGGCCGCCGGAGCTGTAGGTAGAATGAAGGAAAATTCAGTTAGCCCGCCCAAAACTCTAGATCA